AAATTGACTTCATACATAATGAAATGGGTAGCTTTATCATTTCATAAGAAAAAAATTATAGAAAATATATTAATTCAGGAAAACTTGGCTTATTAGGCAAATTTGGCCTTGCATCGTAGGCTGAGAAGTGCGTTCTGGCTACTAGGTACGACGATATATATATATATATATATATATATATATATATATATATATATATATATATATATATATATATATATATATATATATATATATATATAATATATATATATATAAATGTGTGTGCATAGTCTTTTATATCAGGTGATTCGACAAGAGGCTCACGACAGACTCTATACAAGGCATTTTACATCTATGGGTAGTCACAGTTACTAGTCTTTCTCCACACCCACCCAACTGGGCGGCAGCTTTACAGGCATGTGCATGTTGAACCAATGAATGAAGTGCTTACACATTTCGTGGACTCCATTAATGGTGTTCTCTGAATTCCGCTATTTTTTTTCACATTCTATTATATCATGACGCAAAGTATGCGAATAATTATGCTGACAGTTTTCATGTAGTCAAATCTATATCAGCAGATGCTACAAACTTTCAGAGGTACTTGAAGCTAACTGCTCACAACTGCTAGGCCCAAGCCTAGCAGTTGTGACATCTAGAAATCGGCTACCCTTGCTCGATGCCCCATAGTTTTACCTCCATAATAGAATTATGATGGAGTAACTGGTGTGAATTTCACTGTGCCTAAAGTGTAAGAGATTTTGTTGATGTTCCCGGAATAATACTGCCCTCAGGCTGCTCAAAGGCAGTTCAAGATGGTAATCAATTCCTTCTTTATGAGCAAAGGTTTTTTCCAACTCATCAGTTCTGTCATGCATTCGGAGACCAATATGGGAAGGAATCTACAGGAAACAAACTCCGACTCCATCATGAGTAGTCTTAATAATGAAAATTTCCAGAAGCAGCATCTTGCTGCCAAACTGGAATTTTCGACTTTCCCTGACTACTACTGAAGCTCTGAATTGGTGATCCCCGCCCACGTCATATAAACAAATTTTCCTTATTAAGACTACTCATAGCTACTCATAGCCCAATGAATTCGACCTCCCATGCATGGGGTCCACGATTCGAGACCCATACAGGCCAGGTGAACAGAATGTTTATTTCCAAGGAAGTGTGGATAACAATTTTATCCTTTAAATTTTTGGTATAAAATCTTTTCAGCATCAACTCTTTACAAATACCGTCTTGTCAAATCATCCCTTATAGATAACATGTCCAACATGAATAGGCCCTCGTACACAACATGCCCAACATAAATAGGCCCTCGTACACAACATGCCCAACGTTAACTGGCCTTCGTGCCGAACGCAAATCGGTCCTTATGCACAACATGCCCAATGCGAATCGGCCCTCGAGCACATCATGCCAACACAAACCTGCCCTCATGCACAACATGCCCAACGTGAACCTTAGTCCTGGCTTAGTTCCTGTTGATTCTTGCCTTTCTCAGTGCATACTTGTGCTCTTAACTTTTATTTTTCTTTCTCCTCTGTTGCTGTCACCTTTGTACTTATTTTCACCTCTTTGCCATTAGGCCTAATGCAGTTTTATTTATTCCTATGGTTTACTACCTACATCCTTCACTTTCACCTCTCATTGACTTTCTCTACCACGTTCTTTACACGACTTGATAATGGTCTAGGATGAACTGAAACGTAGTCACTATCTTTAATTTCAGATGTGCTGGTTAGGTGTCTTAACTTTCAGAAACGTTATTGTCTGCCCATTATACCAATTCTTACTCATGACATTATTAAGTAAATTTTGGATTGATAGTACAAGGCAGGATATTCCTTGTATCAGGAGAGCTATGAGGAGAGGTTAGAGGCATGAAATAAGCTAAAACTAGAAGATAGAAGAAAAAAAGGCGATATGATCCCAACGTACAAAATAGTAACGAGAATCAATAAAATTGATAGGGAAGAATTCCCGAGACCTCGAACTTCAAGAATAAGAGGTCATAGATTTAAACTAAACAAAGCTGCCAAAAAAATAAGAAAATTCACTTTCCCAAACAGAGTGGTAGACGGAACAAGTTAGGTGAGGTGGTGGCCAAAACCATCAGTAGTTTTAAAGCATTATATGACAGAGTACTGGGAAGACGGGACACCACGAGCGTAGCTCTTATCCTGTAACTACACTTAAGTAATTACACTTAGGTAATTACACACACAATCAGAATATATAATAAATTGTATATATAATATTTGTATAAATCTTTGCAAAATGAGTATTACAACTTATATTGGTTGCATTACAGTGGAGAAAAACATTATTCATGTTTTCATGGTGGCTATTTTTTATGGGTTTGATGTTAATGTATAGTGGCTTTTTTAATAAGTTACTGTTTTCAGAGGTAAATTTGTAGTTTAGGTCTCATTTTGGTTTAAAATTCCACATACTAAATCCTAATGGTATATTTCTAAAAAATATAATTTTATGCTCCAAAAAAAATAAACTAGAACACCAATCCACAATTATTTTGTTTATTTATTTATTTTTAAGTTACAGGGCCTACTAAAGAGCAGGTGGATTGCATTCACAAGCAAGTTTTAAACATTCATATGATATTTTGCTCTGTTTTACTTTTGTACAAGTGCATGCTTAATTCTTGGAATGTCTGTAGCCTGGTACTCTTGCATGGCAACATCTGTTGATAGTTTAAGATACTGTTTTTGTATTATTACTAGAATAGACCTGTAACACCTTGTGAAATCAAATGTCAGTCTGATACGGTTTCCATTTCTAAGTCTGTAAATTTAGGAATTATTGAATTGTTGTCACTTAGCGATAGCCACTGGTGTCTGTTCGTGCCATTCCATTGACAGGCAGTTATGTATACTTTATTAAATTATATTAATTATTGATCTTATTTTCTGCTGCATAATGGCTTCTGTATAATGCCTTTCTGGCTTAATGCATTGGCTTCTACATAAAAAGTGAACACACGTTTATACATAAACATGCATTTGCACACATTACACACACATTCGTGTGCATAATGCTAAAACTAGAAGATGGAAGAAAAAAAGGCAATATAATAGTAACGGAAATTGATATAATTGATAGGGAAGTATTCCCGAGACCTGAATCTTTAAGAACAAAAGGTCATAAATTTAAACTAAATAAAACTGCCGAAGAAATACAAGAAAATTCACTTAAGCAAACAGAGTGGTAGACGATTGGAACAAGTTAGGCTAGGTGGTGGTGGAGGCCAAAACCGTCAGTAGTTTCAAAGCGTTATATGACTGGGTACTGGTAAGACGGGACACCACGAGCTTCTCTCATCCTGTAACTACACTTGGGTAATTACTTGCATAATTGCACAAGTACTCTCACCCATAGTACCATGTTGCACAAAAAACGTATGCGACACTCATCATTTGCATTGTGTAGCTTATTAATTAAAGGATTACTAGGTGTTGGCATCTTGACTCCTTTAATTTTTAACATGGGAAAAATTGTACATGTGGCAGAACGTCACTTGATAATTCCTCTGCTGATTTACTTCTGTATTCCAGTGCATTTTTCTTAGTGTAGTTCCTGGGGTGTAGGCCAACCTGCCCTCCTAATAGAACTTCGCATTTTGACATATACTCTACCCAAGGTCGAAAATTGTCGTACTAGAAAATGGTAGCGGCTCGTGAAATTGACGTACTGTTCCGTTTTCCGTTTTGGGTCCTCTGGTAGGTTAGGACAAGGGCACTTTAGTATGACAGTTTCTTGACGTTGGGTCCAACCATTTGAGATGGATGGTAGAGCGACGGTCTCACTTTATGCAGGTTGGCGTTCAATCCCCGACTGTCTAAGTGGTTGGGCACCATTCCTTCCCTCCCCGTCCCATCCCTAATCCTTATCCTGATCCCTTCCCAGTGCTATATAGTCGTCATGGCTTGGCGCTTTCCCAACAATTCCCTTCCCCTTTCTTGACTTTGGGAAAGCTTAGGAAGATGGGCTGTGTAGGCACTTTTAAACATACAGTAGTCCCTTTTAGAAGTAGGCTATACAGTAATTTTGTTTTAAGATTGAATTTTATAGAATATTTAAACCTTCTTATATTGCGATCTTTGTATGGCAACAATATCTGCTAGCAAGGCTGTATTGCTTGTTGTATAGCATATGTTTCCTGTTGGTATATATTTTTATGTAAGGCTAACATAAGTAAGCCTTATGTAAGCTAATTATTTTACAGTAGTTGTTTTTGTGTAGCCTACATACACTAGTCTGTGATGTATGAACTGATTTGTTTTACTGTGTTCAGATTTTTCATTCTTTGGCATCGTTATATATGTATATACAGTATATAAATATAAATAAATATATGTGTACTGTACAAGTTATCAAGTTTCTTTCTATTTTCTCTAGGAAGTATATTTTTCTACACATTACTCAAATGTTTAAAATTGGGTCTGTTAAAATGTATATTTTTTTACTACATTTCATCAATCTGCTTCTTTACCTAAGAATTGGGGTATCGTAGATATAATTTCCAGTGAAATGTATCCAAACCTGAGCTTTTTTTTTTTTTTAACTTTCCAAATTAATTAAAAAAATGCCATTCTTCCCATTTGGGTTAATATTTTTATTAACTTATAGCATGTCACACTTCCTTTTTGTGTGTTAACAAAAAAATATTTTTATTTATATTGTAATTTTATTTTTAATGTGCATGATCATTCAGTCATTTAGATGTTTTTGATGTGCTTCTTATATTTCAAATTTTGTCTTTTTAATATATTTTTACCCTTCTCATTTCCTTATATACAATTTCCATAGAAGTTCAATTTCAGTTTATTATTGATTGTATTCAAACATTACTGAGAACATAAATGCCATACTGTACATTCATTACAGATGTCTGCAATTTAATATACAAATTAGCTAAAATCATATTGTGACTTTTTAACTGCTTTTATGTAGTTTTCTGGACTAAACATTGTGCTTCATTTTCACAGATGTGGAGGAATCTGCAGACTTAGCCACACAGTTCCAGTCATCAGTGAGCATTGGAGATCATGCATTCTCCCAGATGGAGGAAGATATAGACAAACAGCGACTTTTAGGGGGTCAGCCATCATATGCCACGGCAGACCCTGAAACAGCCTCTATGACCTCTGACCTCCAGCACAAACAGAGGTGAGCTAGAATAAGCTATCCACGCAAGGGGGAAATGGTTCACATTTAAATGTGATGAATTAATGTCAATAATAATTTTTAATCCTGATTGCTATTTTAATGTTTTAAATTATAGTAAATTTGTATCAAGCAAATGCTACCCAATCTGCATGTCTGAACACACTTATCAGATGCAAAGAGTTCAGCTTTATGTACAACAAATATATGATCTAACTTTCAAATGAAAACCAAACCAGAAGATGGAGAAACAACTTTTTGGTTCGTCCTGAACTGTTATCAAGTCGTAGTGTCATAACTTGATAATGGTCCAAGATGGACCAAAACATCGTAGTTCCCGATGACTCCAGCCTATTAGTTGCTGTACGAAGTCCAAGATTCTTCCCATCTTGTGGACAACACTGTTTTTATTGGAATTTAGCATAGCCTTTGCTGTACTCTTGCTTTTGAGTGGCAAGAAGTGAATTCAGTCTTTCAGATGATACCTGCTTGATGGGGTTCTAGGAGTTCTACTCCCCAAGCCTGGCCCAAGGCCAGGCTTGACTTCATGAAAGCTAGGTCCAACAGGCTGTTGCTTGGAGCGGCCTGCAGGCCCACTATCCAGCAGAGCCCGGTTGGTCCGGCACTTCTTGAAGAAAACTATCCAGTTTTCTCTTGAAGATGTCCCTGGTTGTTCCAATAATATTTCTTATACTCTCTAGGAGGATGCTGAACAACCATGTAACTCTGATGTTTATATAGTGTTCTCTGATTATACCTATGGCACCCCAGGTCTTCACTGGTTCTATTTTGCATTTTCTTTTGTCGTTCACTTCAGTATGTTGTTATTTTACTGTGTAGATTTGAGACCTGGCCCTCCAATATTTTCCACGTGTATATTGTTTGATATCTTTAGTCTCCTTTCTAGTGAGTACATTTTGGAGAGTTTTGAGACAATCCCAATAATTTAGGTGCTCTATTGCATCTATGTATGCCGTATATGTTCTCTGTACTCTATTTCAACAATCTCTCCTGCTCTCAAGGGGGAAAATGAGTACCGAGCAGTACTCAGGTAGGACAGCACAAGTGATTTGAAAAGTACAACCATTGTGATGGGATCCCTGGATTTGAAAGTTCTCAAAATCCATCCTATCATTTTTCTGGCTGACACAATATTTACTTGGTTATGCTCCCTAAACATTAGGTCATCAAACATCATTATTCCCAAATCCTTACATGCTGCTTTCCTAATATGGGCAGTTTTTATTGTTTTTTTTACCTGTACAGTGGTACCTCGGTTTAAGAGTTTAATCCGTTCCTGGAGACAGCTCGTATTCCGAAAACTTGTAATCCGAAGCTAATTTCCCCATAAGAAATAAAGGGAAATGAATTAATCCATTCCTGACTACCCAAAAACCTCGCTTCAAACTAAATTTTATACCTAATTCATCTAAATAAACCTACAAAACTATGTTCAAGTTATTACTTACCCTTGCTGATGACTGTTGTTGGCGTATGGAAGATGGTGAGGAGGAGGGAGGAAGAGAGGAGTTACTGTTTGGAAGGGGAGTCCCCTTCCATTATAACATCAGGCAGTGAGGACTTCACTGGTGTGCACACTCTGGCACATTTTGCCTGCATACCACTAGGACTTGCTTGTCTTACTAAGAATCTGTCTAAAGACACTTGGTTTTTCCCTGCATTTTAACACTTGTCTGTAGTAAGACATCACATTGTCATTTAAAAGGTCAATGTAACGGCCTGCTATAGCTTTATCTGGGTGAGTTTTTTCAACAAAACTTTGCAGTTCTTCCCATACTTCACACATTTTCTTAATCAAGAAGGGACATCATCTTCTGCCTCTATTCACAGCTAATTTCTTAGGTTGAACCTTACCAATGGCTTTCTTGAGACCCATGGCGAGATACAGTATATAACAACTTTTATACTCAAATGACCAAAAAAACAACAAAAAACTGTAAATCCTGTGAAGAATTCAGGAGTGAAATTCCTGAATTTCAAGGGAATGGAGTGAATTTATGTTTAGCATGTTTAGGATTTAAACAGGGCAGCTGTGTCGTCTGAAAGCAGAGTGTGTTATTGTCCTGATAGCAGTGTGTGTTATTGTCCTGATAGCAGTGTGTGTTATTGTCCTGATAGCAGAGTGTGTTATTGTCCTGATAGCAGAGTGTGTTATTGTCCTGATAGCAGAGTGTGTTATTGTCCTGATAGCAGAGTGTGTTATTGTCCTGATAGCAGAGTGTGTTATTGTCCTGATAGCAGAGTGTGTTATTGTCCTGATAGCAGAGTGTGTTATTGTCCTGATAGCAGAGTGTGTTATTGTCCTGATAGCAGAGTGTGTTATTGTCCTGATAGCAGAGTGTGTTATTGTCCTGATAGCAGAGTGTGTTATTGTCCTGATAGCAGAGTGTGTTATTGTCCTGATAGCAGAGTGTGTTATTGTCCTGATAGCAGAGTGTGTTATTGTCCTGATAGCAGAGTGTGTTATTGTCCTGATAGCAGAGTGTGTTATTGTCCTGATAGCAGAGTGTGTTATTGTCCTGATAGCAGAGTGTGTTATTGTCCTGATAGCAGTGTGTGTTATTGTCCTGATAGCAGAGTGTGTTATTGTCCTGATAGCAGAGTGTGTTATTGTCCTGATAGCAGTGTGTGTTATTGTCCTGATAGCAGAGTGTGTTATTGTCCTGATAGCAGAGTGTGTTATTGTCCTGATAGCAGAGTGTGTTATTGTCCTGATAGCAGAGTGTGTTATTGTCCTGATAGCAGATTTCTGCTGGGTGGTGATTGGCTTGAGGTAGTTTGCAGAGGTTGAACCCCAAGCACAGATACCATAAGAAAGATAGGGATAGATAAGTGCATACTAGAGAGAGAGGAAAGCAGAGTAGGGTACATAATATCTGATCTTGAAGAGTATACCAACTGTTTTAGAAACCTTTTTTTTTTTTTTTTTTTTTTTTTTTTTTTTTTTTTTTTTTTTTTTTTTTTTTTTTTTTTTTTTTTTGTGTTGAATGTGGGTGCTGGCGTTGTCTCTTGTCTAGGAATAGGCCAAGGAACTTTCCATAATTTTTATTGCTAATGTTTACATTATCTATCTGGAGCTGAATTGCATTTGTTGATTTGCTTCCAAATAAGGTGTAGTAGGTCTTTTCAATGTTTAGTGTGAGTTTGTTGGTTGACATCCAAAAGTGGACTTTTTTTTAATTCATTGTTTGCAACATTATTTAATACAAGTGGGTTGGGGTCAGAGTAGATGAGTAGTCAAACATCAGCAAACAATATAGGTTTAAGCACCTTAAGAGACATTGGGCAAATCATTGATGTATATAAGAAACGGAAGGGGTCCCAAGATGCTGCCCTGTGGCACCCCTACGGATAGTGGTAAAGTAGGAGAGGTTATATCATTGATGGCTACATATTGGTGTCTGTCACTAAGATAGGATCAGATATACAGTAGTTCAGAGCAATGCCACAGATTCCATAATGGTGGAGTTTAAGTAAGGGGTAGTTACGGTTAACAGTATCAAAAGCCTTTCTCAGGTCAATGAAGAGTTCAATCAGAAACTCACTTTTGTCAAGGGCTTAGGAGATTAAGTCAAGCAGACTAACAATTTCATCATTGGTACTCTTTTTGGGAGTGGAAGTAAAACTGACAGGGACTTAGTATATTGAATTTTACGAGATAGGAGTAGAGCTGTTTATAAATCATTTTTTTTTCAAATATTTTTGATAATATAGGTAGATTTGATATGGGTCTAATTATTTGTCTGCTGTGTTACCTCCTTTATGAACTGGCATTACTCCTGCTTTTTTAAGGATATCAGGGAAGGTATGACACTTCTAGAGATTTATTGAACAGCAAAGCTATGGGTAGTGCAAGGGCAGGGGGAGGCACTCTTGTGTACCAAGGATAGTATTTTACTAATTGTTCCCAGCTTTGGTTTCTAGCGAGTGAATGATGGACACAACATCTGTAGGGCTGATCAGTGAGAGAAGAGGAGAGTTTGGATAGCTACCTTACCTTGAGGTTACCTTGAGGTGCTTCCGGGGCTTAGTGTCCCAGCGGCCCGGTCGTCGACCAGGCCTCCTGGTTGCTGGACTGGTCAACCAGGCTGTTAGACACGGCTGCTCACAGCCTGACGTACGAATCACAGCCTGGTTGATCAGGTATCCTTTGGAGGTGTTTATCCAGTTCTCTCTTGAACATTGTGAGGGGTCGGCCAGTTATGCTCCTTATGTGTAGTGGAAGTGTGTTGAACAGTCTCGGGCCTCTGATGTTGATAGAGTTCTCTCTGAGTACCTGTTGCACCTCTGCTTTTCAATGAGGGTATTCTGCACATCCTGCCATGCCTCCTGGTCTCGTGCGATGTTATTTGTGTGTGCAGGTTCGGGACCATACCCTCTGCTATTTTCCATGTGTAAATAATGTGTATCTCCCGTCTGCGCTCAAGGGAATACAGATTTAAGCTCTTTAGTCGGTCCCAGTAGTATAGATGTTTTACAGAGTGGATTCTAGCAGTAAAGGATCTCTGCAAGCTCTCCAGGTCAGCAATTTCACCAGCTTTGAAAGGGGCTGTCATTGTGCAGCAGTACTCCACTCTAGAGAGCACTAGTGTTTTGAAAAGTATTATCATCGGTATAGCATCTCTAGTGTGAAAAGTTCTTGTTATCCAACCTGTCATTTTTCTTGCAAAAAGCTACCTGACAAATATGTGGTAACATGTGTCTGGGTCTGTGGGATTTTTCGGGCACGGTTAGCACCAATCGATGAAAAAACGCTATTAAATTCAGTTGCTGTTTCAAGGTCTGATGCAGGTTTATAACCATCCTTGGAGATTTTTATCTAGTTATTTGAATGTTGTTTAGCTCCTAGGATATTAGAGATGGCTCTCCATGTGCTTTTTATGTTGCCTTTTGCTGCTTTGAATCTATTCTCGTAATGGGAACGCTTTGCTCTTCTAATTATTGTGGTAAGCACTGACAAGTACCTCTTAACTACTTCCTTT